CCTAAAAGTTCTGTCCTATCCTAACCCCTGACACCTGTGAAGGGGACCTTAATTGAGGACAAAAGGCTTTTGCAAATGCAAGAATTCTCAGACACAGACACACTGAATTTGGCTCTAATCCAATGACAAGCGTCCTTATGAGAGAAAAACAGGGAAATCTGAAACGCAGATACACAGGGAGAGCACCCGGAAGCGCCTCCAAGCGAGAGGAAGACTCGGAGCCGCGCAGCCCAGGCGGAAACCGAAGCAGCCCCGGCAGGCGGCTTTCAGACCTGGAAGGGGCGGGCTCTTCAAACACTGGTTTGGCGTTCTGGGCCTCCACACTTTGAAAGAATAAATTTCTGTTGTTTTGACCCAGTTTGTGATAATTATTACAGCAGCCCTAGGAAGGTCATTCAACATTCATTCAATGTTTAATTGAAACGGAATTCACAGCAATAGTATTATATAGGCATCATGAAATATTATATATGGATCAGAGCCAAATGTGAAGCGCCTGATTTTTTTCAGCTTTCCGCTACCATCAGGGACGTGACTGACGCTTCTGGCTTGTGCCTAAGCAGAACCGCAGGTCGTCAGCTCCCTTTCAACCTCGGAATGTTCTGATCCCGGAAGACTTGCCCCATAATTGTTATCATTTAAGCTACATCGAGAGAACATCCATGAAGTGATCCGAGTACTAAGCCAAATGGGTAAACCGCCTTACCGCCTCTGCCGTCAAAGGGGTGTCAGATGACGCCTGTTCCCCAAGTCGATTTTAATACAGACTCCAAACTGAAGCAAGCCTCGACCTGCCTGCAAAGCGCCGGCATTCCCGTCACACCGTTGGCTGCTGCAGGCCCGCGCTGCAATCCAGGTGTGTACTTATCCCTTTGGACTTTGGGTGGAGGGGGGAATTTTGATAAGCTTTTTTAAAAGATTCTTTTAGTATATTTGAGGCTCCTTGATATTCAACACCACTGAAAACATAACCCCAGACTTCCCCAATTTTTTATTCTGCCTTATTTGCTGAGGGCTCATTTAGATAACAATCACCAGGTTGTTTTTTAAATGCAGGATTGTACCGTCATTCCTTCCATGGCCTGTCATTCCTGGCTCTCATCCTGGCCGGTACTGTAAGGAATATTATGCAGCCATTATAAATAATTTCAAGAAATTTGTAACAGACATGAGAAAATGCTGTGTACAAAGTTGAGTAAAAGAAGCAACAAAAGCTGGACATACACCATGATCCAAATTTATTTAGGTACACATGTATTTACATGTATGTGTTAAAAAAATGAAAATTTTTCATAGACTAAGGTTGGCTGTCTCAGTTGATAAAATTACACATGAAATTTTACATGGTTTGCTGTCTTCAAGTGTGCTTTTTCATCATCAAAAAATCATTTAATTTAAAAATGTTTAAATCTTTTAGTTTTTAATTATATTCCAATGAAAGGATCCTTGTCCTTAATCCCCCTCAAAATACTCCCTTTGAACACATTCACCTCGCCACTGTTGCCACTTTCGGAAGCAGCCTGGGAGCTCGCTTCCCTGAGCGTCACTGCTGGGGCTGTCTTGGTCTCCGCGTCAGTTCTAGACCGTTCCTTCTCATGGCCACCTCACTAGTCACTGCCGAGCGCCAGACCCTGTGAATCAAGTGCATGAGGTTGCCCCACGGTGTCTGTGGGAGCCACCTTGCCGCCGGATGGCACCCAGAAGCAGCGTTCACTGCTTCATTTTATTTATTTATTTACCTTTTCCACACTCTGTTGAAGCCATTCAGGAAGGAAGACATTCAGAACTGCAGCAGAAAGCATCTGCGACAACGGGCTAAGTGCGCTTGAAGGGGGCAGAGCACGCTGTAGGCATTAGTGCCAACGCGTCACCTCTGTGGGACAAGTACCACGTCCTTAGGGAGCTGCTTACTTCAGCAATGCTTTAAGAAAGATATAAATTAACCTACAACCTTTTCTGTATATCCCAAAATACTCATTATCCTGATTTCTCCAACCTGCATTGATTTGCTTTTTCTTCTCTCTTCCTCTGAGGCTGAGACAATAGAAAGAAAAAAAAAAGGATGCGCAGTGAAGACAAGGCAGCTGCTGAACTCTTCTGGACTCTTGACTTCTCTGGGGAATGCTCCGGCCAGGAGGGAGGACAGCGCAGAAAACACGCAATGCTGAGTAGTTTGTGCCATCGGAATAGCAGAGACTTGGAGAGACCTCCCACTCTGCAGAGGGAGAGTCAGAGCTTTTGGAGCAGGTGAGATTTTGCTCCAAATTCGCTAGATCCCTCCATCATCAGTGTGGACTATTTCAAAAGTTGTTCTGTGAGAAGACTAATCTATCAGCTCCCAGAGGGCAGGGAGCTCCTCCCCTCATTTGCTGACATACAGGTTAGAACTACGCTTCAGACAGAGTGCCCAGGAAGCGCTGAAACTTGGAGAGATAAATGTATTTGATGAGAGTTCACACAGTTACAGATGCAGCGCCCAACAAGTTCAGGAAAACTGTGGAATAAGCTTCCGCATGCTCATTGCTAGCAGAGCTGGATGGAACTGCGGGCCATCGGGGACAGCTGGGTCACACTGAGCACCGGGCAATAGGGAGCACATAGCTTTTATAGGGAAGAACCAGAAAGGGGCGTGAAAGGAGCCCGAAAGATCAAGTGGGGATTGGACAAGAACATTTATGATTTTATAGTTTGTAAGGTGAGGAAGCACATGTAGATTCTCGGGGTTGCATGGGAGGCACAGGCGTTGAAGGAGCATGTCCAAGTCTGCGTTCATGTCCACACTGCCCAAAGGAATGGCGTAATCATGTGGTGTGTGTTCCCAGTCTGAAGACCCTGGGCTACACAAGTGGGCTCCCCATGAAAGCCACCTGATTACCAGAAAAAAGAGCTGTCCTGGAGACATCAGAAATGACAGCCTCCGGGGCTGGGAGAGTCCAGAGCCCCCCAACCTGCTTACAGATTTCCAACCCTAAATACTGAATAAAGACTTAGGACATAATGTTCATGATGTATTCCTTGTCTGCTGAAGATCCACTTAACAATTTCTTTTGAAAAACTTGAAATGCCTTGACTGCCAGTACTCTCCGGTCCCAGCACTAAGTTAATTAGAGCAATATAGGTCTAGAAAGGTAACAACAAATACGCTAATATATATTGTTGTGACAGAAGGCCATTTAAGCAACAATTATGATAGATCGTCAGCCCATCTCTCCAGCCTGAGTAATCGACGGCTGAGGAAGCTTCCCCCATTCAAGTTTTCAGTTATCCTCAGAACACGCTGACCGCAGACAAGCGCCTAACTGTTCAGGGCTTCATAGCTGAACACTTGTAATTCCATGCGTCCCCTAAACTTCAAAATCTCACAGAAAAAGAAAGAACACTGAAGAGAAAAAAAACTCCCTCAATTAAGAGGACATAAAATACCACCTGCTTCTAAATCTCTTTAGTAAATCTCACTACAATTCCCAAAATGCATCTCATAGTTATGAGTACAAACGCACCCCACAGGTTGGAAAGATTTTAAGATTTGAACTTGACTTCTAGGGCCCAAATCCCAATTGTTAACCTCAGAATCTTTGAACATCACCTTAACTACATTGTCTGAGTAACAGGAATCCTAACAGCAATATTTCGTGCATCATGGGGAGTGAGTGAGTTAGTCCACTGTGCATGACACTGTATAAAGAAAAAAGTGTTACAAGGCATATGAAGCCTGGTTTTAAGATTAAAATTGTCAGGAGACCCCTTTTCCCACTCCCATGAGACACGAGGACAAACTTCTAAAGTGACTTTTAAGTAAAAGAAGCATGTGATAAACACCAGTTAACATATACCGCTTCAAATTCTCATAAAAATCATTTCCTGATATTGGTTTAAAAAATCGTCCCATTCTATTTCCCCTTCTCAGTACCTGAGCTTCGAAGCCTGCAGCTGACCAGGTAGGCGAGTCAGGAGCGAGCCTGGCCACGCTGCTTGCGGACAAAGCCTCCTAGGAGTGCTTCACTATTTCCTTTTCTGCTTCATTTCTTTCACAGTGAAATATAATCTTTTCTCATATGTGGATTTAAATTTCTGGATTAACTAAGCAAATTGTTACCAGAAATGTAATGTTACTATTTCAGGGTAGTCAAAAAGCAAAGCCTCTGCCTAGGGTTTGTCTAATATATTTGGTCTGTAACTAGAAGAACACACAGACATAATCGTAGGTTTCATCAGTATTATGTTTTTAAGTCTGACTGGGAACATTTTAAGAACGGTGCCACCGCGGCTTTCTTTTGTCTATCTTCAGGTGAGCCGTGACCTCTACTTATCTGACATGCCCTTAAAGGAATTCGTTTTGTCTTGCCAACTCTGGTGTGCGCCTATTCCTACAGAAAGAAAATCAAAGGATAATTATTAAATTTGTAGCTCCCTCACTGAGGGCCTCATAAAGTCCTGAGGCTTGAAAATTAAAGCCTTCAGTAACATTCAGAAATCCTAATTCTCTCGTTGGAATTATTTTAAATAGGCACATGCTGCGCATGCCTCTAACTGAGGCTAGTCTGCTTAGGGCTCCTGCGCTGTTCAAACTCACTCGAACCGAACAGCAAAAGAAAGCAGAAAGTGGAGCCTTTTTAAACACATTCCTGTGGTACGAAGCATGAACTAAAGTCCAAATTTTATATTATTTTTAAAAATAAGATTTTGCCAAAGATTTTTTTTGTAAAAAATGAATTCCCACTGCCATATTTAAAGAGAAACTGGTCTCTACTAATGCGTTTTAATGAATATTTACACATGTACACAGCGAGCCGCGCGCACCACGCACTGCACTCCGAGCCGGCTGGGCTGCGCGTCCTGAAGCCGGGCGGGCCCAGAGCTGAGCGCGCCGCGGCGGCGTCCCGAAGGCCTTCGGTCCTCTTCCTGCAGCTGGTGGGTCGCAGGCACCAGGCCGCCGAGCCAGCTGGCTCTGGAGTCCAGCTACGGTGAGGAGCTCTTTAAATGAACCCCGAGCGCCCCCATCAGAGGGCCGCGGCGAGCACACCGCCGTCCCCGACTGCGCCCTCGGGGCACAGACACTCGGCACCGGGCAGCGCCTGGGCACCCTCCCGGGTCAGTCTTTCCGCGCGATCCGGGGAGCTCTCCCTCCACCGCGGGCTCGGACGCCGCTGCGAGGCCTCCCACGCGGAGGGGAAGCTCAGCGCCGAGCGCGACTGTCGCGGGTCCTCTGGAAGGCTCACTTCGGGGACACACCTGTTGGACAGCACTTCCTTTTCTTTGGAATTCCGCCACTTCATCCTTCTGTTCTGAAACCAAATTTTCACCTATTGATAAAATAATTGGACAAAACAGTCACTCATTCCTGGTTATTTCACTCATTCCTGGTTATTTCACTTTAGTGCTTTTGGTGCAATGCAGGGATCAAACCCAGGGCCTCCCTGCACGCCCGGCAAGTGCTCTACCCCCGCCCACACCCCAAGCATGTACTCTAGGGTTTATTTATTTACTTATTTATTTTTATTTTAGAGAAGGGTCTACAGGGTGTTCTGGTTCTCACAACTAGATCAGACTAGTAGTGATCCGCCTGTTTACAGCCTCCCAAGAGCTGGGATTACAGGCACTTGCCACCACTCAGTCTCAGTTGCCTTCTCAGTGCGACCCAGGGGCAGGGCCGGCACAGCAGGCCCAGGGATTGAACCCCCGGCCCCAGCACCTGCTTACAGATGCTTTAATACACTGAGCTATTTGGCCGGCCCTTACTCTAGCATTTTAAACCACAATTACTTCTACTATCCCTTCTACAGAATAGCTTACTGTAGAGCTAGCCTCAAAAATCCTGCAGCTCTTCGCCGACTCCAGAATATCTAAGAAAGTCATGTCATGTCCCGACACAGTTCTACTATCCCACTGTGGTAAACTGATGACACCATGTAAGTCTGATGTCGTTCCAAGCTGATTTAACTTCCTCGGCTATTCTGGAACATCATTTATTCAGTTCTACATCACTTCTACGAAGGACTATTGGCTAGTAACAGCAGCTGAGTGTTCGTTTTGTGCCAAGCATCAGCTCATGTGCTCTAAGTGAATTTATAAATTGATCCTCACAGTGATGAGAAAACATCCTCATTACACACATAAGAAGTCCTAGGCTTAAAGAAATGAGGCAGCTCGGGTCATGTAAGGCGATAAAGATGAAAGCATTTCTCCTAGAATCCATCGTTGTCCCGCTCTGGGACCCAGACTCCTGTGCATGCAGACCTCATTAGGAACTTTTTGGAACTAAATTAAAGATGTATTTTATAATGCTTTCATAGATTACAGGCTTTATGCAGATTTTTAGATTAACCCCAGGACTTATCCAACTGTGGAAATTAGGTTCAATGAATAAAAATTCTGACAGGCCAAAAGCACCTGTGATGGTGGTTCCTGCCCTGAACCACGCCCTCCCCCACAGCACCCCTCGACCTCAGGAGGCACAGCCACCCCAACGCACCATGTACCCGACATTCCCCGGGCCGAAACCCCCAGCTGCCCTCCTGATTCCCTGAGAGCCAATCACATTCTTCTGTAAATTACAACACACCATTACTAATGATTTAGATTTCTACTAATAGAAAACATTTACCTGAAGAAATGATCATGACAGCATACCAACCAAACATTTCTTTCAGTGAGAGCAAGTTCTGATTACTGGGGCAGCTTCCTCAATCCCTTGCTCTCACTGGTAATCTTCTCTGCCCCAGCAAGTGAGTAGGAAGGCTGTGTCCCACGTACAGCCTGCGGCTTTGGGTTGTTATGCTGAGCAGCCCTCAAGCCCTTGTGTCAGAGCATTTGGTCCACTCACGGACTCCTTAATTATTTACGATGGACATTCACCCCGGGAAAGTGTGCCACGCATGTCGGATGGGTTGCACTAAAGGTGTTATTTGTTCTTGTCAGTGATTACCATTGTTTTATGGGAGTCAGATTGGCCTTGGCATGCGGTTCAGGCTGACCTTGGACTCTCTGTAGACAAGGCTGGCCTCTAAGGCACGGCGATCCCCCTGCCTCTGCCTCCCATGTGTTGGGCCTTTTGCCTTTCTCATTATATTGTTTTCTGTTACTTTGGTTTTTCTATATATTTGGAAATGTTTAAGTGCTATCCAGTGGGGGAAAAAACATGAGAAGAATTCTCTCACAATAATTTTTGGGAGAAATATTTAAGGAGGGAAGTTCTACCTCCCCATCAAATACAAAACAAATTACAGATAGATTAAGTAACTAACCAGGAAAATACGACCACAGAAGTTCTAAAAGAAAATATAAATGATCATCATTATATTTTGGTGGAAATAATAGTTTTCTTAGCACGTCATCAAACTCAATGCCACTGAACTGAACACTTTCAAAAAAGCCTAAAATGGGAAATTTTATGTTATATATATTTATTACAAGTTTAAAACCCAAATAATCTGTAACAGAA